GCCCTCTGTGCAGGACGGCTCTGTGTCTCACAACACTTTGGGAACAGTTTAAAACTCAGAGTAGATTCTGTGAGGCACGGTCTCTTTAATTGTTCCAAAGTCCTAGTCAGGAAACTGAATAGGATATTCCCTATGACAATACCTCTGATCTCTTGAAAACATCTCCCATTAGGAACTCAACCAAACCCCACCTCTCTAAAGTAATTGTTGCTGTTCAACAGTATGGCTACGTCTACACTGGCCCCTTTTCCGGAAGGGCTGTAAGGCTACGTCTACACTGGCCCCTTTTCCGGAAGGGGCATGTAAATTTCACTCGTCGTCGTAGGGAAATCCGCGGGGGATTTAAATATCCCCCGCGGCATTTAAATAAAAATGTCCGCCGCTTTTTTCCGGCTTTTAAAAAAGCCGGAAAAGAGCGTCTAGACTGGCCCCGATCCTCCGGAAAAGGGCACTTTTTCCGGAGGATCGGGGCCAGTCTAGACGCTCTTTTCCGGCTTTTTTAAAAGCCGGAAAAAAGCGGCGGACATTTTTATTTAAATGCCGCGGGGGATATTTAAATCCCCCGCGGATTTCCCTACGACGACTGCTGAAATTTACATGCCCCTTCCGGAAAAGGGGCCAGTGTAGACGTAGCCTATCAGTTTGACTTTTGTTCTTTTCTCCAATATACCATTTCTCCTGGGTATTGGATTTTTGATTGAGAGGATCTGCAATAATTATTTAGAAAGCAGTGATTTTAATAAATACTTTGTGAGGTTCAAGCCATTTCTCTGAAAATGAGCTTCATCCCTAATTAATGTAATGGAATAGAATAGCTAATGTATCAAATTTCATGCATTTGAGCCCAGAAGGGATCAAGAGGTAGAGCTCTCGAAACAAAGACATGACTCATTATATGAAGCAGAAAATGAAAATAATCACATTTGTGGAAATGAATTGTGAGGGAGCTAGAGGCTGAGAAAAAATCAAGCTGAGATAAAGAGCAAGAAATGCACCCATTGTAGCAAAGATAAGAATCAAGCTTGGAAAAATACTGTCTGGTTGTATCTGTTGTTTTCCACTAACTCCTATCCAAAATGTCCTGATTAAAAACAGGAAAAGGGGGGAAAAACTGCTAGCATAAATCAGACAACATTGAAGTTCTTGCCATTTTAATGTTCATGATCCTTTTATCTGAACCTGCAAAGTGTCTGTGTTCTTTTCTCCTTGTGGTAAAATAAAATAAGCAAACATTTCTTGCAAGAAAACCCCATACAACAATCAAATTAAATGCTACTACCATGTTCCTGACATATCATACTTTTTCACCTTCCGCCACTGACTGCTGCTAGATATGTGCTCCATATCCTGTCATCCTTTAGTCCCTGATATGGTTCTCTGACCCAGGGGAGGGGAAGCACTATTTAAAGTGGAGAAACCACAGAACTGCCTACTTGCATGACTTTCCTCTTCCCCTTCCAAGTACCTGTCACCCAAGCAGTCCGACTTGCTGGCCTATTAGTCCCTATATCCACCCACACCCCAATTTGAATGAGAGGTGGTTTGACCTGGTGCAAAGGGTCAAAGTGACACTCATGTCCGCCCCAGACAAAAAGTGGTTAAGCCCTGGGTAGATTTCCTCCCCACCCCATTTCCATGGCCTATGTGAGCTTGCAAGTTTCATAAACAACATATGTTTTCCATGTATGCAGAATAGTCAGTCCCTGAACCCCCCACTTGTTTAGCCATCAAACAACACCCCTCCCCTCCCAACCTTCCCAAGTTCATCAACAGAAGTAAGATCCCCACAGACCAGGACATGTCAAATGTAAGGGGTGTCAGATTCTGCCAGAAAAATACGTGCAAAACCCATAGACATCGCTCCACTGCTACAGTGACCAATACCCCCAACAACACACCATTCGAGATCCAAGAGTCCTAGCAGAACAGGTGGTGTGCCCCATACAGTGCATTAAATACCCCAGTAAGGTCTATGGATGTGAAACCAGACATGCACCAAAATCTCAAATAAACTCACACAGGAAAATGATAAAAGACAAAACATCACGGAGTGCCCCAGGGCTTGTGAAAAAAGACTTAGGGAGGATTTGGTAACAGTCTTCAAATATGTTAAATGCTGTTATAAGGAGGACTATGATTAATTGTTCTCTATGTTCACTGAAGGTAGGATAAGAAATAATGGGCTTAATCTGTGGGAAGCGAGATTTAGGTTGAATATTAGGGAAAAACTATCTAACTATAAAAGTAGCTTCAGAATAGGCTTCCAAGGGAGATTGTATAATCCACATCAAAGGAGGATTTTTAGAACTGGCTGGACAAACGGCTATTAAGAATGGTCTAGGTTTACCTGATCCTGCTATCTCAGGCTCAAACCATGCTGATAATTCATTATGGGAAAACTGTTACAGTTGCACTTAATTAGTTTTAAACTTTTTCCTTAAAAAAAGGCTTCGGAAACTTAAACAGAAAAAATCTATGCTGACAGAATTCTATTAGGTTGTAAAGTTAAGCATTCAAAAGCTAGCAAGAACCACTTGCCTAGGAAATCTCCTTTCAATTCTCTCTGGGTATGTCTACACTACCCTCCTAGTTCGAACTAGGAGGGTAGTGTAGACATACCCATAGACACTAAAAATCATGGACTGAACAGGCAATAGATTTATGGCTTATTACAAGAGACTATAACTCACTAGGCTCCTCTTTTTGTCCTCTGACTGCAGAGGTGTTAATGGGCCATTCTACCTTGAATGGTCTCTATAGGTATGTCTACACTGCAGCTAAGCGCCCATGGATGGCCCATGCCAGCTGACTCAGATTGCAGGGCTGGTTCATTGCAGTATAGACTATGCTGAAGCCCAGCCTCTGGGATCCTCCCAGCTGATCTCAGAATGTGAGCTCCAGCCCAAGCCCAGAAGTCACATAAAAACATAAGAACGGACATACTGGGTCAGACTAAAGCTCCCTCTAGCCCAGTATCCTGTCAACAGTGGCCAATGCCTGGTGCCCCAGAGGGAATGAACAGAACAGGGAATCATCAAATGATCCATTTCGTTTCCTACTCCCAGCTTCAGGCAAACAGAGGCTGGGGACACCATTCATGCCCATTCTGACTAATAGCCAGAGCTCGACAAATTATACAATCTACTTGTCCGTGGCGAGTAGACTGTAATCCGGAAGAGCCAGGTTTGGGCAATCTGCGCATGCGCAGATCGCTGGACAGCGCAGCTGGCGAGCAGGGCTTGCCAGGGTTTGGCGAGCCCTGCTAATAGCCATTGATGGCCCTAACCTCCATGAATGTATCTAGTTCTTTTTCGAAACCTATTATAATGTTGGCCTTCACAACATCCTCTGGAAAAGATTTCCACAGGTTGACTGCATTAAGTGAAGAAATACTTCCTTTTGTTTGTTTTAAACCTGCTAACCTATTAATTTAATTAGTGACCCTTAGTTCTTGTGTTGTGAAGAGGGAATAGCACTTCCATATTTATTTTCTGCACAGCTGTCATGATTTTATAATTGAGGGAGTGCACATTTAAGCTCCATTATGGTGACTTTGAAAAGTTTCCATGCAGCTTGCAGAGGTTTCACTTTTGGAACTGTATCTTCTAATTTCTGTTTAATGAACTCTCTCATTTTTGTGTAGTTCTCTTATGAAATTAAATATTGGAGTGTTTGGGTACTGTGGTGTTTTTTCTGCCACAGTTATATTATGGGCACTGTTACCAAGCTGTCTGGCTATAGTCACCTTTTAGACCAGATCCTGTGCTCTACTTAGGACTAAATCAAGAATTGACTCTTCTCTTGTGGTATCTAAGACCAGCCATTCCAAGAAGCAGTCATTTAAAGTGTCAAGAAACTTATCTCTGCATCCTGTCCTCAAGTGACATGTACCCAGTCAATATGGAGAGAAGTGAACCCCTCCCCCCGCATTGTTACTGGGTTTTCTTATTCCAATCTCTCTGAAGATTTAATAGTCACTATCACCATTCTGGTTAGGTGGTCAGTACAGGCAGCCTCAACTTAAGACGTGATCGGTTCCTGGGGAAGCATCACAAGTTGGGGGTGTTGTAACTCGAAACTTCATTTATGATAGGCATTGTGAGCCGTCGTAAATGCAGGCTGAGGATATAAGCCGGGGGGTTTCGGCCCCTTCTGCACGTACAAAAATGGTTGTAAGTGCCAGCGGTCGCAACTTGGGTAGTTGCATCTCAGGGGTTTCCCAATATATATTTCTACTGTTATAATCAAATTATTAGCGTATGGAATTACTATCCATAGAGATTCTAGGTGCAGTTTGTTTCATTTAAGATTTCTACTTCCATTTGAGTCTATGCTTTCTTTCATTCCCCCACCAAAATTACCTGTTCTATCCTTCTGATATATTGTGTACCCTGGTATTACTTTGTCCCATGGATTCCCCTCATTCCACTGAGTTTCTGTGATGCCTGTTATATCAATATCCTCATTTAATGAAAGGTACTCTAATTCATCCATGCTGTAGTTTAGACTTCTGGCATTGGTATATGAGTATTTTAAAAATGTGTGACCTTTTAGCTGTCTGCCATGACATGACATGACATTGCATGGGGACTCTTTTTCATTTGGATGTTTCTGCTCCTATCCTTGCTGTTTTCCATCCTCTCCTCCTTGCTAGGACACAGCATCTCTATTCGTAAATCTTCACCTTAGAAATGTCTCTGTACGAAACATGTGCTCTTCTGCATCTGTCTGTGTTGGCTTTCCCACGCCATAATGAAACATCCCCATAGTCCAAGATCCTCAAGCCTGAGTCAGCTGTCATGGATCATCTGCGGGTTTTTCATTGAAGTGTATACACATACTCTTAGAATATATGCTAATTACTTATGCTAAACAATCTGTTCCACCTTGAATTTCTGTGACACTGGGATTGCCTTTCCTAGACCTGACTCTGTGGCTCAAAAGCTTGTCGCTCTCACCAACGGACTAAACGATAAAATAAATAAAAGATATTGCCTCACCTACCTTGTCGCTCTAATATGTTTTTCATGTCCTTTATTTGCTGCTGTTGTATTGCTGCTTTTTCCTTGCCCTTATTTGCTGTCCTTGTTTCCTGTGTTTTTCTATTTGTGAACGGTAGGCTCTCAAGGCAGGGTCAGTCTGTCTTTTCTGTAAAGCATGATGAATAGCCCGAGTTACTTCCTTAATAGAACACAAAGACCCTGAGTTAGGGCCTGAACACACATCCTTTACTACTAACTCATAACAATAATATGCCAGAAACAGCTGAGTCTTCCTGCTTGGGGTTGGCTGTCTCTCGGGTTTACCAACAGGAATTTCTGGTCAAGATTTTCAAAAGCGACTCATGGTTTTGGGTACCTGCTTTGAGATGCCTAAAAGTGGGTCTGATTTTTCAGAAAATGCTGAGCATGCTGTCTTCAAGAATCAGGTTCTGTTAACATATCTCAAAGTGGGCATGCAAAAACCAAGGCAATCAAATTCACATGTCATCTTTGAAAATAAAGGTCAGGGATTCCTTGTTGTTCACTTTCCTTTCCTCACAGAGTCACTTCCATCTTCTGACTGTCCAGGGTACCCAACTAAGGTACTTATGCATCCCTCATCACCAAAGTATCTGAGCACCTGACAGTTGCCCTATTAATTTAAAAAGTCTTATTATTGCCATTTCACAGATGGGAAACTGAGGCACACAGAGACAAAGAGGCATGCCGAAGGTCACTGACAAGATCTATGATAGAGAAGAGAATTGCACTCAATTCTCTCAAATCCTTGGCCCCTAACCATTTGACCATCCTGCCTAAATTACTGCTGTTGCACTGAATTGGCAGCTTTATGCTGGGTTCTAGCACATAATGAGAGCTTATATCATTAGAACACATGATTCATACAGAATGTGTCACCCTATATGTGTCAACTAACAAAACAATGATAACATGTTGGTTACAACAGAAAAATGGTTTGGAGAATTCTGAATATAACTGGTGGCAATGAGAAATGAGCTAGACATACCATGTTGTATTGTGATTTGTGGCAATAAGAGCAAAAGGAAGGCTGTGAGTTAAAAGTTCTCTAAGGCTATGTCTAGACCACAGGCTTCTTTTGGAAGAAGCTTTTTTCAGAAGAGATCTTCTGCAAAAACTTCTTCTGAAAGAAACCGTCCATACTGCAAAAGGGCATCAAAAAAGCGATAGGCTTTTTTAAAGAGTGTCCAGACTGAATGGACACTCTCTCTCATGTAAGCTGTGATTGCTATGGATGGAGTGGCCACCAGGGCACTGGTGCTTTTTCCTCTTCTTCCGTAAGAACTCCCTCTTCCCCGTCCACACACGCCTTTTTGTGAAAGAGCTCTTTTTTGTGGGAAAAACCCCTCTGTTCTTTCAATTTTCTTGTGGAAGAACATGATTGCAGTGTGGATGTTCCTCGAGCTTTGCTGGAAAAATGGCCATTTTTCCAACAAAACTCTGTAATGTAGACATACCCTAAAAGAGTGCTAAAGAGTAGTTACTTTTTCTAAAAGAATACAGAGCCTGTTATGTGAGAATTCAGTCTTCGAAGAAAACAGAGGTAAAAGATTAGTCTGTAGCATGGAAACATTATGTTCAAACACTTTTAGAATTAGAATTGCACATTACCAGTGGGAAAATGGCTGTGCAATATAGTGCAGCGTGTTATCTGTCAGGAGAAAGAGAGTTATCACTGATTACTTGAGTCAGCACTTCATCCACTAGCAATTTTATGTATCTATCATTGATTTGGAAGAGAAGGGAAGAAAAACACATGAAAAAAGATAGGAGAAGGCTTTTGATGTCTGGATTGGAACAGCAGAGACGGAGCTGTAATACTCAGTGGGTATTTGAAATACATAAATGTTTTAAAACTTGAATGATTCAGTGCTTAGAGATTTGGATTTTTGGAAGGAGTCATAGGGTGAAGAAAGTTGCATGTTGTTTGGATTCAGTGTTTTCATTTTCTTAGTGTTAAAATTGGACATGTTTGCTATGCATTTGATTTTGTCCAGCTCACCCCTTCTGTCACCAGAGGGGACAGACTAACTGTGGCCTAGATCTATTAAAATGTCCCTTTTCCCCAAACTAAAATTGCTGATTTCTATCCTGCTAACTCAAAAGCACAACTGGAAGGAAAAAAAAAAAAAAGCTGTTCTCGTAGTATTTCTAGCTCAGCCAGAGCACATCTTGCACTACATGGAAGATCAATGCTGCCACAGTCCATCTTCCAGGGTTCGATTTAGTAGGTCTAGTATAGACTCGCTAAATCAAACTTAGAAGACACCCTTGTCAGCCCAAGTACTCCCGCTTCTCACAAGGAGTAAGGTAAGCCGACGGAAGCATTTGTTCTCATTGGCCTCTCACTGTGAGGATGGCATGGAAATGTCATTTAAGATACATCGATTCCAGCTATTTAATTAATGTAGCTGGAGTTGCATATCTTAATTCAACCTTATGCTACAGTGTGGACCAGGCTGCAGAAACAAGTGCTACTGCAAACCTCATATGAACTATTATTTACTAGTTGTATCAAGGTGAAGTCTTGGACCATTGTGCTAGATGAGCTGCAAACTCAACACAAAGCAGTCCCTGCTCCAAAGATCTTACAGTATACATAATTCCTGATCTTGGGATCAATCTGGTTTAATTTTTTTATTCGAATTTTTAATGAGCTTTATCATAGAATACTTGACTTTTTTTTCCAGTAACAAATCAACCCCCAAAATATCCATGTACATTTTTCAAACTTTGTGACCAGCTACAGAGCTGGCAAACTCTGGCCTTTAATAATGAATTCTTTCACATTTTCCATTCCGGTGTGTGTTCTGTAAACAAGCGTGGAGTTTTGCTCATTTCAGGTCCCATGCTCAACATAAGATGGAATGCAGGTTAGAGGGTGGCACTTAAATGAGAGACAGATCACAGCAATACATCAAGATGGATGAGACTATATCTACACTACACTGATCTATCGGAAAAGGCTCTGCAGTTTGCGTACCTTTTTCCAATAGGCCAAATTTCAGAAAAGCCTCTTCCATAAAAACTATGTACACTGGACCAAATTTTGGAAAAGCCTCCTCTTTCAGAAGAGCCCTTCTTCCTCGTGGGAGGAGAAAGACAGGGCTTTCCAGAGAGCGTGTCTGCTCTTCAAAAAAAAAACAAAAAAAAAACGGAAGAGCAGACGCATTCCCTGGAAGCAGCGGAGTTTTTCCAGGATATCCTGGAAAACCCCTGTAGTGTAGACATAGTGGCTACGTCTACACTGGCCCCTTTTCCGAAAGGGGCATGCTAATTTTCAACTTCAGAATAGGGAAATCCGCGGGGGATTTAAATATCCCCCGCGGGATTTAAATAAAGATGTCCGCCGCTTTTTTCCGGCTTGGGGAAAAGCCGGACAAAAGCGTCTAGACTGGCCCGATCCTCCGGAATAAAGCCCTTTTCCGGAGGATCTCTTATTCCTACTTCAAAGTATTTCTAGCTCTACTTCAAAGTAGGAATAAGAGATCCTCCGGAAAAGGGCTTTATTCCGGAGGATCGGGCCAGTCTAGACACTTTTGTCCGGCTTTTCCCCAAGCCGGAAAAAAGCGGCGGACATCTTTATTTAAATCCCGTGGGGGATATTTAAATCCCCCGCGGATTTCCCTATTCTGAAGTTGAAAATTAGCATGCCCCTTTCGGAAAAGGGGCCAGTGTAGACGTAGCCAGCCTGAGTTAAGGCAAGAATGGGAGAAAGCAGCAGGTGGCAGGGTAGGGAGTAATTGAAATTGCTTCCTGCCGGAAGATCATGGAAAGGAGATCTTCATTTAGTTATCTTCATTTAATGAATTGAAGGTAGGTAGGGCTACACTGTAACCTTTCTTTAATCCAGCTTGCTCAGGTTTCCAGATAAAGCTGCATCAGGGTAGGCACATCCTGCAGGTTATTACCCAGACTTCCAGGTAGGTTTGTTCAGTCCATATTGCAGCTTAGCTACTCTAGAGTCTGCCATGGCTTAGCTACTCTGAGTCCGAAGCTAGCTAGATTTAAGCTGGTTCGGGTATGTCACCTTGAGCCTCAATCACAATGTATGACTGCAGTCAAAACACACCCTCGTGAGGCACTTTCCACTAAATGTTGGGAACCGCTGTATTAAAGGCTCCCAGGATCCAGAGACAAAGCATCTTTCATAAATATTGCTACATAGCCATTTCATCTTTAGGCTGGCTGAAAGACTTTACCCTACTGGGAAATCAGTGCACATGAGATGAGAATCGGGCCCTTTGCTTTTAACCAAACGGTGCGATGTGCTATGCCTTTTATTTGCTGTAGGCAGGAGAATCATACTTAGTATTGTAGCCTGAATGACAATATTCACCCTCAAAGAGCCAATGTTGCTCTTGGCTACACCATTGTAAATCTGCAGGAATCCCACGGGTCTCCCTAGAGTTGCTCAGTATTTATATCAGAGTAACAGAGTGTAGAAACTGTGCCTCTCTCTTTAACATAAGCGAGAAGTATTTCAGACAGTGCTTAAAGAAGAAAACCCCTTAGATAACAGAGCAGATGAGAAATGAAAATCCCAGCGTGGTCTTTTCCTTGTGAAAAAGCATATTTTAAAAGGTGCCTGCATTTTATTGCTGTAGTAGTGTGATTTACTATACAGCAAGCAGTGTGTGTCATCATTGCATTCAGCTCCACTGATCAAGAAAATAAATTAGATCCTGGAATCTTTGTGCCCATGATACTGATTTAGTATAAAAAGTCATTAAAGCAATAAATTATACGCGCAGCTGTTAACAACATGTAAGTATCTTGTTTTCCTTCTTTTGGTTCAGAGGAACATCAATTAGTTCAGTGATATTTACACTAATATCTTTATTTATTTGGTGCAATTGTCCATCTGTTTCAATGAGGACTGAATTACAAAGATTCTGCCAGGAGTGAAGGCATTAGACTTGCTGGTTGTTAACCTTTCCCGGAAGATAAGAGTCATGTTTACAATTATCCTACATATCTTCTACTATATAACCGAGGGACTTTGTGAGTGAGTGAGCAAGAGAGCGAGTCTGTCTGTCTGTCTGTCCATCTGTTTGTTCGAGTACTCTAATATCTAGGGCCACCAAATTTGGTATGCAGCATCCTCTTATCATAACTTAAACAAGG